GGTGTGCATCTGTCACTGTGAGAAGGGGAGATTATGAAAGCAGGAAAAACAATAAAGGTGGCACACTGTGCCAGTCTGATATTCCAAGATCCATCCTCACGAAAGTTAAGAGGCCTCTTGGCATATGGCTTCAGCTGAGACCCTGCGTAAAATAAAACCCCAAGGTCTCCAGCTGAAAATACAAATGACAAATAAAGAGAAATTTCTGGAGGAGAGAGAATAGAGCGAGCCACCATGCATATAACAGGCATTTAAAATCAGAAAACAAATGGGAATCTTGTTATCATCAATTATGACAAAACATAATGTCACATAAAAGCTCAAAAACGTAAGAGACAAGGTCCTTTGACTAAATATGCTCTAGCTGCATCCAGCACAAATTGCACAGGCTGGAAAACTAAGCAGATTCTTACAGGATCAGGTATTATGTGAAGTGTTCAGGATTTGGGTTAATGAATACAGCGTTCTCCAGATGTTCCATCATTGTTCCAGAGTGGGAGGAAAACTGGCTGCAGACCAAATCAAATTTTTATACTCCTCTTAGATAGTGCCAGACACTAAGATTTCACCAATATAACATCTGAGGCACAGAGACAACGCATCATGGTTGGATAACCCGATATTCAATCCATTTTGCTGAAGACAGGACAAATAAACTAAGAATCAGAACATTCAATGAGTCATATCAAAGGTAAAAATTGAAAGTCAACACTTGTACTGCATATAATCTAGCTGAAAAAGAATTTATAGTCTGGCATTTCCCATTTAAACATTGCTGCTGCTTCTTGCAGATATACTGCAAATGCTAACTTTAAACACTGCCAGTCCTTTCGAGTTGGGTTTTCTGCTTACTTTATAAAATTTTTAGGATGCACATCCTTCTCCAGAGTAATGGAGAGTTTGAGAAAAGAAATTAATTGCAAAAAATGCCTAGTTTGCTTAGAAAAAGTTCACCATGTAGTGTTTACTAAGGAGCTAAAAATCAGTTTAATTTTTTTAAACATTTCATTCCTTTTTTTAACAGAGTTAAACAATAAAGTTCCTGGGATATGCAGAAACAGAGATCACTAGAGACAAAAAATGGCAGTCAGCATAACACTCTAGAAATGTCTAAGAGGTGATGACAGGAATAAAGAGTTAATATCTACACTGGCCAAGAGAAACCCACCACAAGAAATAAACCAAGCTTTTCAAAAAATACACAGAAATTAATAATCATTTGCAAGTGCATTTTGAGTGCATAGCTGATCCACATGCTGAGCAATAGGAAAATGGATATGAGGGAAAAGGGTGTACTTGGGCAATGAGCTTCAGTTTTGAGGCTTAAAAGCAGACTGAGGATGAGGTCTGCAACTGCAAATCTAAGGTCCAGCTCAGTTACACTAATCTGATTTGGCCCACACTTGTGCTTAAACTGATCACTTAGCCTAAGGACTGAAGGGGTGTGGTTGTGTGTGCATGCGTGCTTGCTTCTGGGAACACTTCCATAAGACCTAAACACCTGCACAGATGTTTTTTACACCCTCTGAAAGCAGGTCAGCAGTGAGCATTCACTGGGCATGAAACAACATTAAACTACAAAACATTCCCTGCCTGATGCTGGTGAGGATTTCAGTTTTGTGGCACAAGCAAGTATCTGAGAGTACTGTAGATATATTCACTCTGGTATTTGCTGTGCAGCTTCATAGGTGGCCTTTCTCTACTGGCACACGTCTGGGGGTCATACAACAGGAGGGAAAACAAAAAGGGAAGAAGAAGATGCCATTGGACTGCTGCCCAAGAATAGATCCTGGTCCTCTTAATAGGTCCTCTTAAAGCCCAAGGGCTGTATCAGGGGTGCAGCAAAAACTTCTGTGGCTTCAGGGACACAGCAGAACCTGGAGGCAGGAAGCTGCTGCATCACAGGGCATAGGTAGATGAGACAGGAGGTGGGGGACAGCTGACTGAACACCACATGTGGAGCACATACCAAATTTATCTTGTGCTAAGCCTAGGGCTGCATCTTCTCCAGATTCAGCAACAACCTGGATCAGGACAGTAAGAACTAAAATATAGTCACAGCATTGAGAATTCATGGAAATGTATTGTGTTTGAGTACATCAATTCTGAAATTCATCCAGAATATAGTGTTTGGATGATATTCCCTTACAAACCAAACCTAATCAAACAAAACAAAATAAAACAAATTTACAGAAACCCACCCAAAATGTTTAAACTTTAGGGAGACCAAGAAATTCTTGCCTTCATTTATTTCAAACCTTTCACTTCTCCAGTTGTAGAAACATGTCATGTAAGTAAAACAGTGTTGATTGTTTCTAAAAAGGAAAAATAATTTGCATAATACAAGGTAATAGTTTCACAAAGCCTATTTTTATGTGTGCAACAATGTAGCAAGATGATAAAGAAGGTGCTGTAGACTTAGAAATTCAGACTTCAGGTCTTTTTGACCTGTAGGTGAAAAATTTGAACTGTATGTATTCACCTGGGGAATATCTTGCCTTTTAAGCATAAAGCATGCTCTCTTCTGCCTGCATTTGCCTAAATAGATCGTGAATTTCAATTCAGCTCTAGCTTCTTAGTTTACTTATTTTTAATTAATTATTTACAAATTACACTTCTTGAGAGTAAACTATCCAAGGAATTACACTCCCCTCTCTTCAAATGTATGTGATAGATCTAATTATTTTTCTGTAAAACTTGTTCAAAAAACAAACAACCTTTTAAATAATGACAATCATTAAAAAACATTAGGGTCTGTCACTTATAATCTTTGCTAACTGCTGATAACATTTTATTACTGCTTAGAAAGGTTGATTAAAGCTTGTAATAGATTTAGTGAGGGTGAAAGATTAACAAAAAGGTATTTATGATAGAGGCACTTAAACATAATATGTTCTCAGTAAACACTTGAAAAAAACTATCTCTGTGACATTTATAGAGGTTGCTCAAGATATAGTTTTTCATCTGCACAGTGAAACTGATAACAAGTTTCTACACGCTGGGGAAAAAACAGACAGAAAGGAAGAGGAGCACACTACCTTTGCATGTCTCATGTCTAAGCTAGTGAGAAAGTGCTCTTCAAAAATAAACCGTCTGAAACCCCTGAAGGAGCTCCTGGGAGTGCTATTTGAGCACGTGGACAAACTCCTTTGAAACTACAGCAATGAAAATGAAAAACCAGGCTGGATAAGAAGGTGCTGTCCAAGGGGTGGCCTTAGCCTCAGCCCAACCTCCCCACAGACCCTGGTGGGGCTGGGCACCACAGAGCACAGCAACTGAATGCAGCCCACCTGTGACAGGCTGGCAAGATGGACATCCAGGTTTTCCTCCTGCCCATCACTGGAAGAAAGTGCTGCCAACAACAGCCCCGCATGTTTCAGTGTGGAGAGGTTAATAAGGAAGGAGAGAACTGCAAGAGCATTTGGAAGTAACCACATCCCTCACCAGCACTGATCTGGTGAGAGATCTCATCCTCCTCTGGAGGTGCCAGCCTTGCAGTGCATGGCAAAGACCCTGAATGGCTGGTGCCTTGGGTGAGAACACACATTCCTGTGGCATGCTACAGTCTCCCTCAAACATCTGGTCATTTATCCAGTCATAGGGGCTGCTTGCAGGTACTAATTTAATGGATGGCAGGATCAGCTTGCTCCTCACTTCAGAACAGCCTGTGCTGAGGTCAGTGTGAAGGACCTGGTGCAGATGAGAAGCAGGTGCCCAAACTCAGCAATTACAACCCCAGGCCGAGGATGTGAATGCAGGTGCCATGGCAGAGAGCTTCAGCTGTTCTAGCTCAGTGCTGACCTTCAGCTGCCTGCTCTGCCTCTCTCTACGTCCCTAGTCAAGGAGATGGAGCAGGATAGTTCATCTGGTTTCCACAAGCCTTCAGCTGACCTTTGTGAAATAAACAGAGGTCCATTCCAGTAAGATGTGAGTCACAGCATGCTGAGTACCCACAGTCAGACAGCAGGGAGCAGGACAAGACACCAGGAGGGAGCTGGAGCAGACATTGGGACTACTAACTGGTTCAGACTACCCACCTTAAGGCAACACAGCAGGACTAGATGACCTGGCAAAGTCTTTTCTGACCTGATTCTGTAACACCCTCCATAAATAATCTTTGGTTTTTTGAAAACAGCAGGCCAATATTTAACAGCATTCCACAAGTGACTATCTGACACCACAAAAATCATTTACCAGTAATAAATGACCAGCCAGATCACAGTCAAAACCAAACACATTTAAAAACAAAAACAATTTCTGTGCTGTGCATGTCTTGACACATCTATAGCCAAATATACATACACAGTCTGCAAACACATTAACGTGCTGCTCATCAGAGAGGTCAAACCATGGTGAGGCAGAATGAGCTTGTGGTTAATCTGAGCAGAGAGCCACTGTCTGCAGCCTGTGAAAATGTTAGTACATTAAAGCACTGCAAAGTGATGATAGATTATAGAACCTGTGAATGCAAGCTAACCTGCCCCAAACCATTCCTCAAATGCACTACACAGGCAACACTCATTTCAGGGATTACTCATGGCTTTCGTGTTGAAAAGTGGAAAATTATTTTTAATGTCAAGTGATGGTCAAAGCTAGGCTGTTAGTTACACCAGAAAATGCAAACCCAAACCTGCCTGTATCCTACTGTGTCACAGCCAACACATAGCTCAAACACAACTTCTCAGATTAGGCTATATAGTGACATTTTTTTTCCCTCATTCTTTCATACATTGGAAATTAATAAATCCTTGAAAAAATTTTTCCAGGCTATATAAAGATACACAAAGAGCAATAAATGTAAACAAAGACCTCATGTTTATGTGTTGATGTAGTGAGTCAGAATAAACATGACAGCTTTACCTGAGAAGTTGGAGTCTGAAAACAAACGTCTTATGTTTGGCAACAGACACAGAAGATTTTTTAAAGAAACACCAAAAATAAATTTAGCAACATACTTTACAACTCCCACAGGTATGCCTCATTCACCCAGGCAGACTCACCAAAGTCAAGAAAAAAGCAGAATCCTGTAATGCTGGGTGCTGAGCATCTCCTTCAGGCCCTGTATTCCACATGCTGCCAGTATCCCACACAGCAGCCACTTGAAACCTGCCCCCATGAGGCCAGCCTGTTCAGACAGCAATCATTGTCCTGAAAACAATAACATATTAGTTCAGCAAAGTTCAGCTAGCATAGTGAGCTAAACCCACAGAGACCACATAAGAAAGAAAGAGACTGGGATAAGCACAGTTATCTATTTCCAGCTTTTACACACTGGACACCAGCTCAGAGAGGAGCTCGTTGTGGCACACAACACTAAGGCAAGGACTTGAGCCCCAACAGGGAGTGCTGTCAGTCTCCTCTGTCTCTTTGGCAATTCTGTGCTGACCTCTGTGACACCTGAATTCCTCGTGTATGATCCAGAAAGATGATTTTATATCAGGGTAACAAGGAAGAACAGGAGATTGTGAAAGACACTGCTAACCCTGGATTGTGATAATGGAAAGTTAATTCCACACAGTCTAAACCGTTTTGGAGTAGACAATGGATAGGGTACTTCCACCTGGCAGAAATTCCAGCTCAACTATGACAAACCTATTCATGGAAGAAATACAGGGACATTTTTAGAGCTGGGTGTTATGAGTAACATACATTTAATCAAAGAATAGATAAAAGATCAGAAGAGCTATGAAAGCCACAAAAAGTTCCATACTGTCAGTGTCTGAACAAAGCTAAATATCCTGAGTTTAGTTCATCAGATGCAAAAGCATAAAATTAGCAGAGAAATCTGGATAGATTTGATTTAGTAGGATTTCTGGCCCCAACCTCAGATAGAAGCAATATTTCAGTTTTTACTTCCCACTTAGAAGGTACCACAACAAAAAATCACATAAAAAACATTGGTCTTTTGACTGCATCCACTTGATTCAATAAAACTATAATGGTAAGATATTTCCCCCTTACATTTAAAACCTAAGGTTAGCAAGCCAGAGGTTAAACCATGAGTTTTTTAATCAAGACTCTTTGCTCTTGAGTGCCAAAGCATTGTTTCCTTCTAGCTTGGGACACAGCTGCATGGTCAGAGCTATGACTTGTGCTAACCACAGTTACAGAAATGGCATCCTGTCTCTTTCTTTTAATTAATAGTACAGTCATTTTAGGAAAATATGATGAAAAAAATACATTCAAGAAGCAACAGAATAATTGCCCTTCCCAGAGCTGTGAACTCTAATTTTTGCCCTTTCTACTGTAGTGTCATTTCTTACACCTCAAGTATCACTCATTTACACATTCACTAATGGTGTGTCTCAAGCTGAAGAAAGGAGAGTTATAACATGGTTCTCTTTGTGTTAGATCTGGTGAGTCTTATTAGAAAATAAATGACTCTGTGTGTTATAACTGGTGGTTTTTGTTAGAAAGCGAATTAAACCTTAGTTCCCAAAATGTTTCTGGCTAAATGACATGGGGATTATTTAATCCTTCACTGAGTTCAGCTTGGCATCTTTTGAGGTCAGTGAGAGGTTTTCTTCACTGAATGTTGAAATACATCATAATGAATCAATAATTAATTAGAGTTGTTTGATAGATGTGACCTCTGTTATGTTCCACAGATATTAAGAGAATTTTCTCCTATGCTACTCACTTTCATTTTTTCCTACTTCCATGTGTAGACACTCTCTGCTTGCAGCCAAATTTCCAGCAGAATTTTTTTCTGTTTAATGAAAGTGATCATTCTTCTAGAGAGGTTTTCTTTCTCTTGGCAGTATCTTAGCTGTTGACAAAGTCAGAGTTCTTTGAGGAGTCAGGGCCCCACACCTGTTACCTTTGGGTGGGAAGGAATAAGCTTCTTAGAAGGAATCATTGCTGGAGGTGATGGAACAAGTCCTGGATGGTAAAACTCCTTCATTCCCAGCCTAGGGAGACCCCTGACACTCCTGGGCCCATCCCCTATGGTGTCCTTGCATCATCAGCTCTCAGTGTTACTCACCATTCATTTTCTTTCACTTCTGCCTGAAATGTCAAAAAGTTGAAAAAAAAAAAAAAGGTGGCCCTATTACTTTTCTTGAGGAAAAATCATTTAATTTGAAACATTATTACTTCCTTTCTCTGAGTTCCTTCAATTTCATGAGTTAAGAGTACTTAACTTTAGTTCTTGACCTTGAAGGGAATCTGATCCATCAGCAGAAATTTTATCTATCTCCCTCTAGCACACACATAGTACAGAAGCACATTGGTCAGAAAAGAACAGAAGAATGCATATGCCTATCAAATATGCTCTGGCTTGCAGGAACTGACAAATATCTTTCTATATACGAGAGCCAGAGCTCTTCAAGGAAAGCTAGAGCATGTCAACGGCTTTTTCTGTGCTCCCCCAAAACCCTGGAAAGGAACATAAAACTTGAAGTTCAATGTACTTTTTGTCACCTGTGTGTGCACAAGACCATCTGCCTTGTGGTGAGCAACAAAATATTTTACATTAGTATAATTTTCCTACTTTAACAGCTGCCTTTCTGTCCCAGATATCAATTCCTGTTGATATGGGAGATATGAGGACTTTGATGTTACTACACTTTGCCTATATACCAGTTTTCAGAATAGGGCTTTTATGCTAGCCAACATTAGAAATCATCCTCCGCATAAGCCAAGTCAAATACAAGGAAAAATACTTATTTATAAAATCCAAAATAAGCAACAGAGTTATAGAGATTTTTAACATATGGCTAGCAAAAAGGAAAGAAAACTTTCTCTAAAATCAAGTCCAAGAGGCCCATCATCATCTCTTTCCTTCTTGTCTCACCTTGTATCTAACTGCCAAACAAGATCTAAACCACATCTGACCCACAGGGACATTGTCTCAGAGCTGGTGTACACCCTCCATCACAAATATATATATTCACAGAAGGGAACTTGCAGCCAAGGAAGAAGGCTAACTTATAACTTTGTACTCCATCTTGAAGTTTTGCACAAAGGTTCATTCAAATTCATCTCCCTTCCTTCATTCAGGTGTTGGCTTCAATGTCATTTCCCTGGATTATTTACTGGCCTAACATTTTCAAATGCAAATCTCCCTTCAATAGGCCAGGTGCAAATATCTCTTATCCTTTGCTGAGCTATCAGTAAATCATTAATCCACAGAGGAGCAAAACACTCCCACTTATCAAGACAAATCTCAGTGTGAAGCTTTTCCAGGCTCCAAATTTCTTACTTCAAATCAGCATATAGATAGACAATCACAGCTGATGCTAACATTAAAGCATGATCTGTGCTTTTGGGGTAGAGGTCTGTGGGATGATTAATGCACTCCAGCCTCTCCCTGAATATTACCAAGGGCCTGATGTGACATGGCCACCAGGCCTGGAGCAAAAGCAGAAAGAGTCCTTGTTAAGTGTGAGAAGGACAAGCATTTAATAGTTCTTCGGAGTTTTAGGCTACAGGAATCTGCAGCATCTGCAACAGAGGATCTGAATAGATGTATTCTTCCAGCAGATCTGACATATATTTATTAATACAACGTGAAAAAAAAAAAGAGGACGGGGTGGGGGGAGAAGCCACAGTAGAATCTAAGCCTAAGAATGCCTTAAGCCTCAGCAACTCCAAGTCACCTTATAAAAAATGCCAGAAAGTCAGAGGGGCTGCTGACCCTCAGACAGCCCGAGAGCACAGCTCCTGCCTGAAGCTGACCTCGAGCAGGTGTAGTGAGCACTGAAAAGCAAACCCTGCTCAGCTGGGCCACATCAGCACCTCAGCCCTTACACATCACCTGGCCCTGCTCCACGACCAGTTATATGAAACCAGAGAACCTGCACCAGGCACCCTGAATGTGGAACTGCGGCGCTGAGTCACTCTGTTTAGGGCTGCCCCCACATTTAAAAACATTTTGGTTATTGATCTGAAGATTCATGACTCACTGGCTCAATATAGTCCTGGGTTTAAAAGACTGCTTTGTTCTTGGAAGTGACACATATGGTCTCCTCAGGGCAGCCACCCTCCTCTGCGACACCTGCTTCCCCAGAAGAAACTCCACAAGGAGTTGAAGAGATGCCCAAAAATTAAGTAACAAGGGAAGTGGGTTGTGCAGCTATCACTCCATCCATACTCTCTTTTCTAGCCTGCAAGGCTCGGATGTGGCAACATTATCCACTCTGTGGTGCATCACAGAGGATTACCAGAATGTCTCTTCTCACTTCCCAGGAGACGAAACTGAAATCTCCAGGACCATAAGGGATCATTCACTATGTGAAACTGTCTAATTGAACAGCTTTAAACCAAAAGAAGAAATCAAATTGGACTCTATACACCTAAAAACGTGACCTTGACCTGAAGAAGTACTCTCTAAAGCCACAGAAATAATTAGGGGCCAAACTTCAAGGATCTCATCAAATTCATATACAGAAGCAGCAGCAGCTGCAAGTTACCATGTTCAGAAAATACAAGAGCATACTCTTTCTTTGTGCTCTAGCATACTTTCCTTGCCTGGGGAAATTAATTTTGAATGTGTGATGTCTCTTTGAATTAACTGGCATGAGTTTTGTAATCAAGCATTGTTGAGCCAACAGGAAGACAAGGACTTATGGTATTTTAGTGTGGAATACACACCAAAAAAAAAAGAAAAAAAAAATTGGCCCAATATGCTGTAAAAGACCACAATACACGCATTCATTCATGCAAAAATTAAGTATATAATCACATGATGAGCAAAGGACTTCATATGATGGTATACAAATTTAAAACACATACAACCCTATTTAAATAAACTGCACACTCTGCTAGATTCCAAAAAAGATGAAGTTACAGTAATTGTCGCTTTCAGTTTTATATAATTTTCCAAATAAAAATGTGAGAGTTGCCATTAACTAGTACTGACAATGCACATACAGTACACACATTTGTCAATTTCATTAACCTTCCAAATTAGGTATTCACGGGGAGCTAATGGCAGCATAACACATCATTACAATATTCAATGCAATTTCATGGATATTATGTATAGGGAGAAATTTTAGGCTCTCTTGTTCTTACAGCTGTTAGAAAATATTATACTTTGCAAATATCACATTAGTGATCGGCAAATGCTAAATAGCAGAATCTAAATAGCTTGAATTATGTCCCACTCTCCTGCCTCTCCTCATTGGGAATGGGGTTTGCCTCTA